TCAGTTTGTAACCATGAAATTACTTTTGTCTGAAATAAAATTATAACTGTGGTAATATAACAAAAGGAAGTGCTGTACTAGATGAAGCAGCAAAGGTATTAACAAGTGTGGTGTTAAGAACAGGATGCTTTCTTTCATCAAGTGGAGTCAAGAGGAATCTTATGTCTCAAAAGCAAGCAGAAGTGTTACAAAACGATCTTCTTTCTCCCAGGCAATACAACTGCAAAGCATTGTTCAAGGTCACCATGGGTGCGTACATTTGCAATGTAATGGAATATGCAATTATTCATAAAATGAATTCACTGGTTTTGAAAAATGAAAAACTCCAAATAAATACATGCTCAGTGTTTTAAGGTAAGAATATTATTCAAGTATGTGGCTTATGTTGGCATTGTTTAACTAGGCTGAGGTTTCTTGCTTTTTTTGTTTGCTTCTTTAATGTGATTTGCTAATTTCATGCTTCCAGAATGTCAACAAGGGTAATAAAATAGCAATTTAAGGCCACATTAAAAGCTGAACTAAATGGCACCATTCTACAGAAGACATTAAAACAAAATAACAGCATGTCCTCCTATCAGAAGGCATCTTTGTAGCTTTAATGTAGAGTGGAGAAGAAAGATCTTTATTTTTCCTGCCCCCTACTTTCTGTGCCAGGGATGATGTTGTTTGTGGGACTAGAAGGCCTAGCTTGTTGCTGCTAAAATAATTCTTGTGACAAGTAAATTCTTTCTCTTAAAAAAAAAGTTTAAAAAATCACTTTATTAAGATATGATTGGCATTAAGAACCTGTAGATATTTTATGTGTACAACTTGATATGTTTGGATATATTTATACACTTATGAAAGTATCAGATCATCATCCCTATCAATGCCATAAATTTATTCATCACTTTCAAAAGCTTCCTCCTAGAAACTTATTTTTGGAGTTTGTTGTTGGTGTGTGTGTGTGTGTGTGTGTGTGTGTGTTTTCTTTTTGTGATAAGAACACAACATAATGGAAACAACTAATATCCATGTATGGTTACATGGATAAAGAAAAGGTGGTAAATATAGACAACAAAATATTATTTCAATCTTTAAAAGGAAGGAAATCCTGCCATTTGCAACAACATGGATGAGCTTGAAGTATATTATGTTAAGATAAATAAACCAGACACAGAAAGACAAATACTGTGTGATATCACTTATATGTGGAATCAATTCTCTTTTCACTTGAATAATTCACATTCTTCTTAGAGTAGGATTGTAAGATTTGACAGTTGATTTGAATACACAAACAGGGCAGCCATGTTGTCTGTATTCTTAATAGGGGCTCACGAGAAGGAAACTCACCTGGATATTAAAGGCTGGTAAACTTAGTCTCTCTCCACCAGTATCAGTAGAGTTGGCAATATTTACATTGTCAATGTTAAGGGCATTGAATCAGGAACTCTTCCCCCGACTCCATCAACCTCTCACCATAAGCATGCCTGGTGAATAAGGTAACACTATTTTTTGATATGCTCCTTTCTTCCCAATTGGTTCCATGGGGATTCTCCATCAATATTCACATTATGCCATTTTCCTATGATATTCTGTGTGAATTTATAAGGTTGTCTTTACATCATCCACCTAAGTAGTGACAAAATAGAAAAGTCAGTGAAGAATACAAGAAACTTGAGACTGAAGTTCAGAGAAAGATTAAAAACCTACCCAAAAGTGACTTAGAATTTGTTAGTATTGACATTATTTTAAAGCACTTCTTTACTCATGTCTTACTGTCATCTGATAACATGTTGTGTTAGGAAGGCAAGATGTTACTTAACTTCACAGAATATGAAACTAAGAGACTAAGAGAGTTGGGGTCAAATGTAAGATATATTCTACAATCATGACAATAGCTATCAATACAAGCCTTTAGGTGGAATTTTATGTACAGGAAATATGCAGAAACTTCAGCATACTTCTTGGACAAATTGATTTTACTTTTGTACTCTGACTGATGCTAATCCCAAATGCTCTGTTTTTGTGAATATAAGAATTTATTTTTTGGCTGGGTGTGGTGGCTCACGCCTGTAATCCCAGCACTTTGGGAGGTTGAGGTGGGTGGATCACAAGGTCAGGAGTTCAAGACCAGCCTGACTAACATGGTGAAACCCCGTCTTTACTGAAAATACACAAATTAGCTGGGCGTGGTGGTGCGCACCTGTAATCCCAGCTATTCAGGAGACTGAGGCAGGAGAACCGCTTGAACCCGGGAGGCAGAGGTTGCAGTGAGCTGAGATCCTGCACCACTGCACTCCAGCCGGGGTGACAGAGTGAGACTCCATCTCAAAAAACAAAAAAAAAAAAGAAAGAAAGAATTTATTTTTTGTCAATTTTTACATGTCTCAGAAAATGTAAAATCTGTGGAAGGCTTGGTAACATATACAAGAATAACGCACATTTAATTTTGGTAAAATTTTAATCTGTATAGATCTGTCAATCTTAGCCACATTTCATTACTATTCCCAACTCTTGGCCTTTCATTCTATATTTATTACAGATGATTGAAATACATTAATATACAATCCCTATCATGATATTCTCATTATTAATGCTTTTCTAATTAGAATTTAAAAATATAAGAATAACATTAGGTAACCTTTAGTACCTTGGGTAGAATTTTACCAAGTGTTCTGGATAAAAGTATGTTCAGGAAAACAATTCAGCATTATAGGAATTAATTGTGCAAATCTCAACCGACCTCTCTGATTGTAAGTGAAATTTACTACAGATCAAAGAGATCCAAAGAAATTCTAGTAATCTAAAAAAACGAATGTAATATTTTGAAAAATAATCACAATAACTACTGGATATTAAATGCTTATTATTAGCTGGCCTTACTTCTTCTCCATTCTAAAGTTTTCTTTCTGGAAAGAGAACTCAATCTTTATTATCATTGGCCTCTACTGTTGCCCTCATTCTGCCCAACGAAAGGTAAAGTGACATCTAATTGGTGATTTGCAAAGTGCAATTGTTTGGCCCAGCTCTGCCCTTTATTTCTCCTGGGAGCAAGTTTACTTCTCAAAATTGGGAGTTTCCATCTGTTATGCCTTGTGCCAAATATTACCTAGGCTCTCATTTGCTCACTACCATGCTGCTCCTGCTCTGCCTGATTGGTGGATAAAATCTGCCTTCTCGTAGGAGACCCATTGGCTCCTGCTCAAAAGTACCTTTCTCCATTGACGTTAAGGATATTTTAGCTTCCTTATCTACTTTTTGCCTTATTTCTTAAAACATTTAGAACCTGGTAGAGAAGAGAGTTGCTATTCATTGAGGTGCTTCTTGAAGACCCAAGGTTTGCAACAGAGAAGAGTATTTTAATCCATATAATCCATTCCAGAGACCTTGAAAATGTGTTGATTTTCTTTTACAAATGAGAAAGTGGAAGCTCAAGGATTAAAGAGTTCAAGGCCACATGGTAAATGGCTGAGCTTGGGTAGAGCCTGCCTGTCTCTAAGTCCTATACTCCTAAAGCTGCATTCTGCTTTCTAAAGTCACAGAGATGAAAGATTGTTTTTGCACTCTCATCTCGCTGATGAGTAAACAGAGCCAAACAGAAAGAAGTTAATTGTGCAAGGTCATGCAGCTAGGCCTTGACTTCATCAAGGCTTGAAGTCAGGTTCTGTACTTTGTCCTCTTCTGTAAATGTATAATCAGGAAGTAACTTACGCTAAACAGAGTTTTGCCAGGTGTGGCTAAAATCTTTTATGAGAAATCTGATGCCATATTTGCATTTGCCCATAGGACACAGAATCTGGAGAAGAATAATTAAATATTTATTTTCAATTTGGGTTAAAACCAGAAACAGAACATGCCAATAACTGTTTTTAGTAGAGGGCAGGGGCTAAAGAGATTTTAAAAGAGAACAGTCAAGGTTTTATAATTTCTATTATGAAGGTTGAAATAATTTTGCAAAATCATGTATCTGCAGAGAATGAACATAAATTATTTTTGTATTGCTAATTGAATATCAAAATCTATTCTGCTGCTGTTATTTGTTTCACAAGAAGAGATATAATAATGAAATTATTATTTTCTGACTTGACTTGTAAATCCAATACATATGTACTGTTTTGATTGCTACAATTTAGAGTAATCAGTCTGTTTTTCAGTACTTTACAACTCCTCACAAACCTTTAGGTCCACTGGCATTTTTAAGTTTTATACCAAAATATATGCAGTTTGATAGCCTCCTCCATATCTGCATACACACACACACAAACAGAAAGACTGTGTAATTGGTATACTTTTTTTTTTTTTTTTTTTTTTTTGAGACAGAATCTTGCTCTGTCACCCAGGCTAGAGTGCAGTGGCATTATTTGGCTCACTGCAACCTCTGCCTCCCGGGTTCAAGGGATTCTCATGGCTCAGCTTCCCAAGTAGCTGGGCTTACAGGCACCCACCACCACGCCAGGCTAATATTTGTATTCTTAGTAGAGATGGGGTTTTGCCATGCTGGCCAGGCTGGTTTTGAACTCCTGACCTCAGGTGATCCAACCCCCTAGGCCTCTCAAAGTGCTGGGATTACAGGCATGAGCTACCGTGCCAGGCCTGGTGTACTTTAAGTACTCTTAATACAATAACCTTCCATGTGTATCATTTAGCTATTACTACTAACTCGTCTTTATTATTTCTCATCATCTTAGGGACCAGCTCAGCTGACCTCAACAATCTGCTAGGTGATTCACTAAATAGTGTTGCTGATTTTGCCTGTGTTTTCATACACATCTGAGTCTTTGGCCTAGAAAATTTGCCTGTGTTCCATATGTTTTTTCATCATCCAGCAGGCTAGCTCAGTCTTGTTCTCAGCCTAGCTTAAACTTTTTCTAATAGAGGAGCAAGAAATAGAAGTATAAATGTGCAAAAGATTTTTCAAGCCTCTGTTGCTTGTCATGTCAGTTAACATCCTATTGGCCAAAGCAAGTCATATGGTTGAGTCAGAGTGAGAGGGGACTACAAAATTACAGGGCAACAGCTGTGGTTACAGAAAGGCCATATTAGGGTTATCCATGCATTCGTCATACCATACAATGTCAGGTAGCTGACTTTTGTAATTTATTGGAAGATCACAGATAAAAAACATTAATAAAATTGTGTATTCTATTGACTGAATCCTGATGGTATTTATAAGCAATTTAATGCCTGTTGGCAACATCATTTTCTTCTTATTGCTGCACATACAACCAACTTGAGCAGGAGCAGGTTGAATATATTGAGTCGTATCACAAGTTGATGTAGTTTAGACATTATCTGGAAGGGGAAGGAAAGGAGGAAGTCAATAAAAAGAAATCTTAAGCCCAGAGGCGTTTTTAGATAAGCATGACTATTTTCTAGTGACTGCTTTTGTTAAACAAATAAAATGACCAACTTTAATACTGGGACCATAAATGTCTTGGATGGTGACTTAGATGTCTTTTGGGTTCTAGACTTCCTTTCCAAAGTTCTGCTTTTAGCCCATTTTTTTGTTTGTTTTTTGAGATGGAGTCTCACTCTGTCACCAGGATGGAGTGCAGTGGTGTGATCTTGGCTCACTGCCACCTCCACCTGCCATGTTCAAGCAATCCTCCTGCCTCAGCCTCCCAAATAGCTAGGACCATAGGCACGTGCCACCATGCGCCCAGCTAATTTTTTTGTATTTTTAGTAGAGACGGGGTTTCATCATATTGGCCAGGATGGTCTCAATTTCTTAACCTTGTGATCCGCCCATTTCGGCCTTCCAAAGTGCTGGGATTATAGGCGTGAGCCACCGCAGCCAGCCCCAAATTTTTTTAAATGTGCATAAGTTACAGTTGAGATGGATTTAACTCACTCATTTTTGCTTCTTATTCCCTAGTTATATGTTTCCAATCACTTAATGACTTTAATAAATTATCATTTGAAATAATGGTGGTTCTAGATGTAACATTATTAACATAGAAATTAAATGAGAGAAAGCATGTGGGATTTTGAGTATTAATCACAAAAATAATTACATAATATTGAATCCACTGACTTAGGTTTCACTTTATTATGAGCATTTATCTTGACATTTTATTTAACCAGGACTCAGCTTCTGAATTGAGTACATCTGCCTTCATCTACTGTCACTATCATTGTGGGATATTTATATAGAAAAAAATAGATCAGATTGGCAATCAGCAGTGACATTGACTAAATTTATAGACCCAAACCTTTAATGCATGCAACTGTCAACTGATCACATCTGTGTGGTAGAATTTGGGGGATTCAAGTTGGTAAATATTTGTCCTCTTGACTTAATTGTTGCATAGCATTTGTGGTGTTAATGTTGATAAATTTGAAAGGTATACAAAGTTATGGAAGACATAGCCCCTGCTCTTAGAAACTTACTATGTGGAGAGGAAATAATAATCTAATGCATAAAAGCATGAAAAATGGCAATGTGGTGTCTTAGTTTATTTCATGGTGCTGTAGCAGAATATCACAGACTGGGCAATTTATAATGAACAGAAATTTATTTTGCAGACCCTGAATATCTGAGACAGGTCTCGGTTAACTTAGAAAGTTTATTTTGCCAACATTGAGGACATGTGCTCGTGACACAGCCTCAGGAAGTCCTGACGACAGGTGCGCCAGGTGGTCAGAGCACAGTTTGGTTTTATACATTTTTGGGAGACATGAAACATCAATCAACGTCTGTAAGATGAACATTGGTCCAGTTTGGAAAGATGGGACAACTCAAAGCAAAGGCGGGACAACTTGAAGAGGGGAAGGGCCTTCCAGGTCCTAGGTAGATAAGAGAAAAATGGTTGATAGATCATAGGTAGATAAGAGAAAATTGCTTCCAGTTCACAAGTAGATAAGAAAAAAAATCTTTTGAGTTCCCGATTAGCCTCTCCAAAGAAGGCAATCAGATATGCACTGATCTCAGTGAGCAGAGGGGTGACTTTGAATAGAATGGGAGGCAGGTTTGTTCTAAGCAGTTCTCAGCGTGACTTTTCCCTTTAGCTTAGTGATTTGGGGGCCTCAAGATTTCTTTTCTTTCCACAATTGGCTCACAGATCTGGAGGCTAGAGAGTCCACGATCAGGGGACTGGCATTTTGAAAGAGGGTTTTTGCTGTGTCACATCACACAACACATGACACGGCTGAAGGTCTGAGAGAAACAAGGGGAAATCTACTACCACAGTAACTGTATTAGACCATTCAAGAGTGTGGATCTCTCATGATCTAAACATCTCTTAAAGGTCCCACTTCCTAATACTGTGCCAAGGGCCATTACATTTCAATGAGTTTCAGAGAGGACAAGCATTTCAACCATAGCACATGAAATCATACAGATTTGCGTTAAATTCTTAACTCTGACGTTAACTATCTGTTTTAGTCCATGTTCACGCTGCTGATCAAGAACATATCTGAGACTGGGCAATTTACAAAAGCAAGAGGTTTATTGGACTTACTTTATTCCCCATGTGGCTGGGGAGGCCTCACAATCATGGCACAAGGTGAAAGGCACATCTCCCATGATGGCAGACAGGAGAAGAGAGAATTGTGCAGGGAAACTCCCCTTTTTAAAACCATCAGATCTTGTGAACCTTATTCACTATCATGAGAACAGCATGGGAAAGACCTGTCCCCATCATTTAATTACCTCCCACCAGGTCCCTCTCACAACACGTGGGAATTCAAGATAAGATTTGGGTGGGGAGACAGTCAAACCATATCACTCTCTATGATGTACTGGATCTTACCAAGCCTGAGTTTTTTCCATCTGTTAAGCTGAGATAGGTTTATTGAGAGAATCAAATGTAATAATTGATGTAAAATGCCAAGAACAGGGTCTGCATGTGGTAAGTGCTCAATAAATACTAATATTTAATAACATTAATGAAAAATACAGAAAATATATGTAAGTGATTATAATAAAATGCTGAACACTCATTAAAATAGTAGATTAAATAAGGTTTGTTTAATGCATCCAAAAGTGTAGAAATATTTTAACAAGCAAATAAACTTAATTAAAATGCAATTTTTTAGTTCAGAAATTAAGCTTTGTCTATTTGCAATTTTCCCAGTAGAAGTGCAGAATTGCATATGTTTGCGACTGATGCTTGCATGATCCTGGTTTCTGCTATTTTTTCTCATGGAACCAGTAACAAGAGTAGGGAGCTTCTCTTTTGTGGTAGTTGATATGAAACTTGTCTACCAATATATCCCCTCATCTCAGTGCTTCCCAAATGTTAATATGCAGAATGAAAACAAACAGCATCATCAAATATGCAAATTCAAAATAACGCAGAGGTTCTGATTCAGGGTACAGCAATGAGATGAAGAAATCTGAATTTCTCATAATCATGATGTGTTACTCTGATGCAAAAAGTTGGGAGCAACACCTTGAAAACCAATGAAAAGTCATCTCTGCTCTAAATGTCAGAGCCAAAGCATCCAGGTTGGAGCGATAAGAGTATTAGCATTTGAAGAAGACAGAGGCTGATTCAAAGTGGTTCCATGTTAAGTGTTTTTCATCTTGGAAAACGTGTGACTGTCTACAGTCCCTTCATTATGGTTTGAAATGCACTTGATGGTGGAGTTGGCAGTCGCTGTATGAAGAAAGGAGATATGTTTGAATGTTTCTGTGTACAATGGATGGGATTAAAATCAGTTGGAGGCTTTGGTGAATACACTGTAACTTAGACAAACCACTTAAACTGAAGAGCACAAAATTAAATTTCCTGTTTTTCCCATCAACACAAAAGTCTTCATAGATTTAAAAATGAAAACTATTTGGAAAATATTGACATAAAAATCTACAGAAGTTTTGTACCTACATAATAATTATCATCAATAACAACACATAGATTAATTTTAAAATTGTTTTCTTAAGATGATTTAATTTCTATGATATGGGAGACCCTGAATACTGAACTATGTACTAGACCTTAAAGTTAACATTACAAGAGAGAATGGCTGCCCTAGGGAGTAGATATTTTTCGAGGGCTAAGTAAAAGCTTTTCTATCTTAAAAAATGTATCTTTTCATCCAATGAAAGTTCTGTTATTCCAATAAAATTACAACTTATATGTATAACAACTTTGCCTTAAGTTTGGTAAAATTAACAAGCCCTCAGACTCTTTTATGTTCTTTGATATAAAAGTTGCCTTATCATAATAAGATATAAGTGATCTTGCATAATGTTCTATCCACGAACATTTGTAAAAATGCTTAGTAAACAGAATAATAGCAAAAAATGTAAATGAAATGCTCTCCCCCGATGACAAAATTTAGTTCAAAAATATGATGCATGCACATCAAGATAATTTAGAGGCAATTGGGAAAGAAAAATAGGAATTATAGTAAAAACAAACAAGACATATATCTGCTACCTGTCGAGCACTGTTCTAGGTTGTTTAAAATTATTAACTCTAATTCTCAAACAAGTACTGCAAAATAGCTGACTTGGGCTTCATTTTACAGATGATAACTGAGGCTCAGAGATGTCAAATAATTCACCAAAGTTTACACAACTTGAAAATGGTAAAACCAAGATTTAAACTTAAGAATTGCTGCATTCTTTCACAAAAATTCTCAAGAAAGTCTACAGCGTAAAGATCTATAGCATAAAGTATTTATTCAGTATTGTTGCTTCCAATTACATGCCAAAATGAACAAGAAACAACAAATTGTTTGATCTCATTAAAAGGTAGGGCTGAAAACCAAGATTTGGAACTGCTCATTACATATTAGTTATACTCCTTGACAGTAATCTCTTAACTTAGTCCTAATGAGTCCCTTGCAACATCATCATGCCATTAATTAGTTTAGCAACTCCAGTAGCATGAAGGGATGAATTTCTTGCAGGCCCAACATAAACTTCCTTATGGTTTTTAGTAGTAGTGTCCAGAGAATGAAATTTCTTGATCATCATAGACTTTGTGAAAATCTAACATTATTATCTTTCTCAGCAAATTCTCTGTTACAGCAATATTAACAGCCAAGCTTTCTTTCCTCCAGAGAAAAGTTTAAAGTAACTTGTGCTTTGCAATTAAATAGGATTTTTACTATTAAAATAATTCAGAATCAGCTAAAAGTGAATTCTGTCAAAGTTCTAGTAAAAATATGCAATAAAGTTAATTTAAAAATAACACTTAAACCAAACCAAGATTGCAGCACCTAATTCCAATAGTTATAATATCTTCTTTAACAATATAACATAAAGCAATATATGTTAATTTATTTAACAAATTAAAGATGAAAAGTGCTCTACATGACTATCCCACTGCAGTAACACTTGCTAAGAAGCATTTTGGGGTAGAGTGTTAAAATATTTAAGTCTTTAATTACAAATCATTTCTCCTAGAGTTATGGGTGGTATAAGTATTAACTAAATAGGGTGCTACAGAGCTGCAAACAGATGGAATCAAATATAGAAGCTACAGAAATAAAGCAACTTACTCTTCCCTGCACTTGTGAAAAACATAATTAAAAATTATTGACTCAAGCAAGTTGCAGGTGAGGGAGAACATACGGAATGAGGCCAATTGAAAAGTAAGAGCAATCTAATAAGACCAAATTAGGTATTTTATCCCATTTATGTTTTTTTCTTCTGGCTTGTTATATTCTTAACCTTTCTGATCTTCATTTTATTTTGTTGCTGCATCTTTGACTCAAATTTGGGACAATTATCTTCCAATTACTTGTTATTCTAAGGCAAATATGACCACATCACCAACTCTGTTTCTCCCAAGTAGGTGCTTCGAAAATGATAACGATTTAGTAAATGGTGGTTACTGTTATTTATTTACGTTTATTTTAATTTTTATTAAAAAGTGGGGAGCAAGATAAAAACAGGTCTCTTAGTGGTAAAAGGCATATCATACAAAAGCTTGTGCATCTCACTCATTGTTGATTTACTTTTGTGCTTTTTCAGCATTCAGTGCTCTAAAGCAGGAAGCCAGAGGGAGTGCTTGAGTAAAGGGAAGCCCAAACTACTGATAGTGAAAAACTTGCGAGAAAGTAGACTAAAAAAGCATTTGAGAGAAAATATAGCACAAAATGGAGCAATTTTCTGAAGAGCCAAATGAGACTGCCCTGTCTATGCCAATAGTTCTCTATGATTATATTTAAATCTTAAGATGATAATTGTGTAACTACAGTCATGGCAAATAAAAAGATCGACCCTTTGTCATGTTCAAACCAAATCATCAATTGCTTTCTTTAAAAATAAACATATAAAAAGGTTTTCATAAAATGGTGTCTCTAAAAGGGCTGAGAAATTTAATTCTGCAAAATATTCATTTCTTGTTGATGCTAGATGAAGAAGACTATGCCGTATATATATTTTTTGTTTCGTTTGTTTTTGTTTTTTGTTTTGAGACAGAGTCTCTCTCTGTTACCCAGGCCAGAGTACAGTGGCATGATTTTGGCTCACTGCAACCCCTGACTCCTGGGTGCAAGAAATTCTCATGCCTCAGCCTCCCAAGTAGCTGGGATTACAGGTGCAGCCCATCATACCTGGCTAATTTTTTTCATTTTTAGTAGAGACTGGGTTTCATCACGTTGGCCAGGCTGGTCTCGAACTCCTGACCTCAGGTGATCCACCCACCTTGGCCTCCCAAAGTGCTGGGATTGCAGGCATGAGTCATTACGCCTGGTCTGTGCTGTATAATTGGACTATTTTCTTTAGGTGTGAGACAGGATATCAAAGCAATTTCAATGAAACTGATTTTAAATTTGCCATCTAAATTAGCCGAGTCCTCATTTTGTTCTCTTTCAAGGAAGAACTGGAAAGATACAGGTGTGTGGCAGGGTATGGTGTAGAGAAATAGCTACAAAACATCTTTTAGGTAAAAGAAGCAGCAGAGGGCAGGAGAAAAGCGTCAATTGGGAAATAGACACGGCCTGCTCACCAGCTTTTGCCAATCACTTACTTACCTTCTTGACCTCAGATGAATGGAATGAGAGAGGGCACCAGATGATTCAAGGTCTCAATCAGCTACAAAATCATAGGAATTTGTGGCAGGAGAAAAATCCATGACTCCTAGAAAAACCTGTGACTTCTGATGGGACAGAAAAGGGATGCAGTTCAATACCAATCCTTCCTTTGATTATACCCGGCCCATTCTACCTGGAAGCTGACTAGCTTTCCTTCATAAACACTTTGTTTGGATTCCCAAATAACCGGAGTTTCTTGTTCTTCCCCAAACATCCCTTAGGGTAACTGGGTATCCCCTGATTCTCCATCTTTTCTTGCAGGCGACAATAAGCCATTTCTGTATGTGCCTAGATTCATTGTTTACTGCTACACAGTATTTACAGGTTCATAGAATGATAAATAGGCAGGAAATTAGAATTATATGAATAAACTTCCTAATTCCATAGGCAGGGAAAAAAATAAATTTCAGAGACATTAAGAAAACAACCTAGAGCCACAAAGCAGTTACGTATAGTTATCTAAGAAGAAAATCCACATTGCTTAACTTCCAAAACACACCCTGCGTCGCTCTGTAGTTGCTATGTTATCACAGGTTATATCATAGTATTCTTTGTTAAATATTGTATTGAATGTGGGACCTTCTTTTACGCTTTCTCTGTTTAAAAGAATTTTTTCTATATGTATCCATGTCAGGTTTGAGAAAAACCATTTATAATGAGTAGTTCATGAATCTAATTTACACTCAACTCAAAGTACTTTCTGTTTATCACTTTCTAATTTTCCTCTTTGCTCTAAAGCTCATTATGTCACTTTTTATCTTCCCTGAATTACAGTAGGCATCTCATTAACCTACATCCCCATGCAATTGGACTCACCCAGATGTTGAGTATAACTGATATTGGGGTTGGCAGTGGAGGGTGTGTTGTTGGCTGCCACTTGATTTAAGGTGCAAATTTAGGATTTAGCATTATTTTTATTCTGCAAAGACTTATTTAATCTACACTTCTGTTTTTTGGATCAAAAGAAAGATGAAACTCCATACCAGTAACTTTCTAGTAGGCAAAATGATTTTGAATGTGCTCATAAATGGATGAAATAATAGAGTCCAGTGCTCTTATCTAGTTGTCTTGTGTTTATGTCTTCCACAACAGCCATTTATCAAGTACCTTTCAGAAAACGTAGAGATGAAAGCACAGCTCTTCCCCTGAAAAAGTTCATATTTAATGAGAGGTAGCTGGAGGGAAAAACAGAAATAGTCACCAAAAATGCCAGCTGCAAAGCTTTATGCTGAATGGGCTCTCAAGGTGCAACATCTGCAAAGAGATGGGCCCAGATCCAGACTGGAGAAATTGAGGGAGGCTTCCAGAAGGAGTTAATGTCTGAGCCTCTTAGAGAATGTCAAGAAGGGGCGAGCCAAGTGATTCTGTAGAAGGAGGACAGAAGGTAATATACAATTTTTAAAAATCTGGAGCCGAATACATTGGATGTATTTAGGGAAATGTAATAATTTTGGAATGACTGGACTGTAAGAAACTTCCCTAGAAAGGGCAGTGAACAGGCATGCCTAGTTTCTGCAGCTTCCTTTATATAAGCTAAAGAGTTAGACCTTCATGTTGAAATACAAGAAATCCTTGAAAGACTTTGAGAGAATGATGTGATAAGATGTACATTTTTATAAGAAGCTGCTGGCAGCAATATGAAAAATATATTTATATTTCATAATAGAAATATATTACATAATGTAAACATAAATATATTACAATCCTTCCTTATATTACAAGGAAGAAAAGATGAGCTCCTAAGTAAAGGCAGCCTCACTAAGAATGGAAAAGGAAGACACCCTGGAAACCAATAAGAAGAGAAAATGGACACTCGAGAGAACGGAGAGTCCTGAAAATGTGAAATTAATCAACCTGGGCCACATACTTAATGAGTACCAGAGCAGCGATTAGAACCAGGTGCCTACCACTCAGTTAAGGAGCATTTTGGTGACATCAGTCTGCATCTCTGAGGCTATGCTTTGACAATGATAACAATTAAATTTAAAATAGATTGACTATTTATAGCAAAAGACTATATTTAAGAGATCCCGTTTTCCTCATTATCCAACACAAGTAAAGGCAGGTGTTTGATTTAAATAGAATAGGATGTTAACAACTCCCTCAATGCCTGAACTTCTCGAAAACAAATTGACATTGGCTGCCCTTGATTTAACCTTAGAGCCGATATCATTTCCCTTCATCAATGAGCAAGGTATGCGCAGATTTCCTGTCTTGTCTCCTCTGGATTTTTTTTCTTAATGAAAAGCAACACAATGCCAACAGATACTGTTGCTATGAGGGAGGCTTCTCACAATTCAAACCCTTATTCCCAAGCAGGGTTTTGGGAAATGGAGAGGAGTAGAAGTCAAGGAGAGGGGTGGGGTAAGTAGCAAATGACTGCCTCTCTGCCTGCCTATTCTTCTTGCCTAGCCAGAAATTATGTCAATGCCGCATCTTCATTGCAAGGATCTGATGGGAGAATGTGTATTAAAGGGCTTTGAGAAACTGTAAATGGGAAAAATCAAAAGTTAGCAATTATCGTTCATTTCTCCAAAGTGGAGATGATTTTTAAAGTATTTTACAATGCTTCATTTACAGAGGCAGGACATTTCTTTGCCCAAACTTCAGTTTCCCAAAATGAAATGTGTGTGCCCTTTGGTCTACAGAACACTGTAATCATAGATTTCAAACTGTTGTCAGCTGGCTTAACTCAATTTGCTTGTACACATCTCTTAGATTACTTTTGGTAAATGGTAATTACCAAAAGTTTTGTGGGAGAGAGGGTTAATGACATCCCCCAATCTCCACTACCAGATTATGGTGAATGTCTTCTTTTACACTTAAGTCTTCTATTACACATGTAGGCATTTATTACCTGAACATTAGTAGCAAAGGCCTACCATTAAAACCATTTACAAGAGCAGTTCTAGAGGCTTAAGAAAGTCCTTGCACCTGGAGAGAAATAACAGCGTTCAATGTGTCAGTTGTCATTAGATCTTCACAAAGAGCAAACGAGGACTCACAGCAAGTATGTTCCACAGAAGGTAAGGTCCTGAATGTACGTTAATCCTCAGGTGCACTTACAAAGCAGGGAGGTGCAAAAGTGTGCATTGGTGGCATCATGAAGATAGTGTTGGTAGAATGTCAGAGAAGAAAGTTCTAATTATCCTGTAAGGAGAGGAAGAAGAGATTAGAGCAGAGGACATGGAGTGCCTGACAAGAAGCCCAGGTTTTGAAGGGTAACTTGAAGTTAAATTTACTTGAAGATTTATCTATGAATTTCCATGTTGTTAGCAGTTTTGAGACTAAACAAACTAAGCTATGAGTTCTTGCTTTAGAACAACACCTCTCAGAGCTGTGGAGCATTAACACAATCTTTTGGACGTGATTCCGTTACACTAAGATATTTTTTGGGGAAATTTATTTATATAAGTTAATTTAAAGTTATATCATATATACTGTAAAATAATCATATAGTATTAGTATATAATAGTATATATGTGTGTGCGTATATATATATATATCTTTAAATGTGTATATGGGAAACGTAACTCATTGTGACCATGTTATCCATTATCAAATACATCTATATCCTCTCCTGCCTCTGAGCCTGGAGATATGTGGCTCCCAAAACTTGTGACATTCTCTATAGCCCTTGCTTCCCTTTCTCTTTCTCTCTGTATGTTTTTCTAAGACCTATTTATCTTGTTGGTCTCCACCTAAATGCCCCCTACTCAAGGTGCTTTCTCTAATCTCCTACACATGTTAAATTCTGTCATTATATGCTCTTAATGCATCTTCTATTTTTCTATTGGTAATATTTATTATGCTTGTAATTATTAGTCCAAAGACAGACTATTAACTCCTGCGGGAAAGAGTCAATGCCAATCTTCTTCAATACTTTTTTTAGATTTATGAAATTCCTAATATTCTATTGTCTTTTGACTTAAAAACAGCAATTTCATGTGGTTCAAACTCTTACATGACTTAGCACTTAGCAGAGTACCTGTCTGAATGCTAAACACAATTCTACATCTTAAGAGATCTTCATCAAGTATTCATCTGTTAATGAATATGGACAAATGGGACATCCAACATGTTTTACCAACTCTGACTTTATACTAACTGCATTTTTCCCCTGGATCTCATTTTTAAATGATATAGTAATCTATTTATGATAAAATGATGCATTATATTATACATGCATTGTTTATGTGATACATCTATGTTACAGCATATATTAAAAGAATAAAAGAGAGATGGAAAATTTAATAGCAAAAGATGCTAGTATTTATGAATAGTGAATTCAACACTCTTCACTTAATTTAGGTGGCTTCATTAAAGTAGAAACATGCCCTATTATCCCAATGCCCCTTTCCTCCCTATTTCCTACTTCTAAATGGAAAGTTGTGGAGACATACATGGTCTGGAGTTGACAGCCTAATTCATCACCCTTAAGCTGCCCCTGGTACTGGGAGAATCAGTATTGACCTACAAGTAGTCATTGCCTTAGAAAAAAATGCTGCTGTGGAAGGTAACCTAGAAATACAAAAGATTTCATGACTGTGAGTGGAAATAGTTTAGTTTGGTTACTATTTAGGACAAGAATTAGCAAACTGTGGCCCATAGACCAAATCCAGCCTACTCCCTGCTTTCGTAAAGTTTTATCAGAACACAGCCCCTCTGATTTATTTGCATGTTACTCATAGCTGCTGAAACACTAAAAGAGCAAAGTTGAGTAGTTGTCACGGAGATAATATTGCCGCAAAGCCAAACATGTTTACTGCTTATCTCTTTATAGAAAAAGTTTGCCAACTCCTGATTTAAGATCCGTGTTTCCTTACATATGTCAAATGATTTAGAAATTACTGCTCAAAAATTAGCAGTATATAGTAACATAGGTAGATAATAACTGAATCATGCAAATAATTGGCATTATTGCATTACTTACTTCAGCAAAGTTATTGCCTATTCCAGCCTAAAGTAATGAAATGAACCCTATGAGAGTTAATTTTATTTTAAGCCTACGCTTAAAGAGGAAAGCATAGTTTGTTCAACATGAAATGACTCATGTCCAAATGCTCATGAACTGATCCACAATATGGCAACCAATTTCAATCACATTTTTCTTCACATTCACATTTTCTGAGTGGGTTGATACAAAGCTAAAAAAACCAAAACTCAGTGTCTGGGTTTAAATGCTCAACTGAACTCCGCGTATCCTCATTTCTTTTGATGAATTGTAAGGGTTGCCGCAGTCAGATTGAAAGAATCATGAATCAACAAAAGCCCTTTATTCTCATGCTTATGGGTCTCTAACTGACATCAAGGTGTTTCCCCATGTATTGCTAAGAAGATGAACTGTGGAGACCAAACAAAACCCGAGCCCTCTCAGGTCCAATCCTGAAGACTGGTTGTCTGTTGCAGATGGTTCACAGCCTTCAATAGGGCCCTGGACACTCTTAGGTCACACCTGGGCTTCGAAACACAGCTTTGAATATAGTAATCCATTTTTTTCCCCAAATAATTTAGAAATCTGTCATTTGCTGTCAACACCTGCATTTTTTTCCCTCCTACGCTCTGACCAGAGTTGCATTTTTCACACATGTGCTGTATCTCTGTTTCCTCCTTGGTTCCAACTTCTCAGTCCATTTGTTTTTTCTATGGCTAAATAAATTATTTCCTTCACCAACTGTCCATAGGCAAGCATTTACCAATTCCTTACTCACAGCTTCTGCTATGTTACTTGTTTGGTGTATCCTTTAATCATTCATATCTGGTTCTTATTTGTAGATACACACATGTACATACACACACCTATGTGTATATAAAATATACACACACATATGTATATATTACCAGTTATATCCACTGATGCAATCTCTGATCCCATCTATGTGGGTTTAATTTTCCTTGAGGACTTTGTTATTCATTAGAATGTGTTGTATTCTTCCGGTAATACTGGCTTTCTATTTGGCTTAGGTAGAGATGAGTATCTCCATACCATCTTTTTAAAATAGTATATGAAGAAGTTACTAATTAGTACTAATTCTCTACTCATCTAATTTTCTTTATTTTTCTAGATCAGTTTGACCCCATTTCTAAAGCCCTTATAGATAAAAAATACTTATTAAATCAGCAAACCAAATCGAAGCAATTCTTTATTATATGCAGAAACAAGAGAATTTTTTTGTGTGTGTTAGGATTTGTTTCATGTTGTTTTTTTGTTTGCTATTTTAAAAATGCAATATACTGGCTAGTTATCCTCAAAGGTATGTACATTAACATAAAATAACAATTCATTGGAAGCTAAGAACAAGTGGAAAATAAAAAAAAAATTAAATAACTTCACTTTAATTAAATTTTTAAGCAAATACTTTATTAAGGCTGTAGGTAATACAAAGACTATGAAAACCCTTTACTAGTCTTAGAAACCTGTAATAAAATAATAAGGGTAGTTAAATGGATATAAGCACACTTTTTCAGATATAAGCACGCTTTCTTTCATTTAAAAATAATATCTGTCTCAGTGGAAGTACTAAATACTGAAAGTAGAAGGGGGAGTAAGATACTGTCTTTATTCTTAATGAGTTTTCAGTCTTCTGTTAGGGGAAAGAAAAGTGAACTCCCAGTAGCAATGCAACAATATGAATATTAAAACTGGCATTAATGAAAGTAAATTAATAATCCAGACAGATAATTTAAGCTATTACATTTGTTGATTTTCTTCTGAAATTCCAATGAACAAATCTATAAATTAGCTATTAATAAAAGAAGGCTTAGAAATAGAGGTAAGAAATGCATCAATGATCTATCCAAGTAAATGGAAAGTATGACCTCTGAGTTAAATTAAAGAACTGTATCAAATAATCCATCTGAGTTTGTGTTGGTTGCAAAAAAATAGAATAATTGCCACCAAAATAATGAAAAGGTCAAAACATGTTATAATAAATGAAGTGAGCCCATTCCTGTTGCCAACATCTCTCATATTAATTGGCATTTGTTTTTAAAGGAATACTGTGACATTTACACTTCAATTACATATGATAAGAATACTAACCAAGTTTCAAAACAAACAGAACAGCTAAAAAATTAGAATTCTACACTTGGAACAGAAACAGAAATAGCAAAAGGTTTACATCTAAAATCAAATCTGGATTATTATTATACATACTCAAAAGAGCTAGATTTACCATGAACTCAAGTATCCGAGTCCTGTATAGGATGGCTTTTATAAACTGAACTAATAATTTTTTATTGATAGATTTAGTTTTATGTCAATATAGATAATTTGGAACTGACATCTCCTGTCATACATACTGTATTTGGCATTAAACTGATTTTTTCCAAAGCAGAACTCAGGTTGCTCATTTGTACAATAGATCTTCAGTGGTTTCTCACTGTCTGTTGAATGAAGTTTTGACTCCTTAGCACCAATGTTTAACCTGCCACAAATGTTGAACCTAACTTACCAGCTTCGTTGCTTATTTCTACTTTGTATAAATTTAATAATCTTTAAATTATAAACTTAATATCTGCCAAACTGAGAGTTGCTTCCTCTTTCCAGACCAGAATATAATTTAGGTCATTTATGTCCAATGTTATGAAAATGACCTGAAAAAAAATACAAAAGCTAATCAAAATATTTCACTGTCTTTATATTTCGTTAAATGCAATGCCAAATACTGCACTGGTATTTCTAGCTATTCGCTACAAATGTGAATCATTGAAGAACTAAAGAGAGTTAAACATTGTTTGATAAAGGGCTCCAATGCATAGAGTTTTAACCTCCATAGTACAACACTATTCCAGAACGCCAGGGATAGTGGATGCTTTGTTCCTTGTATTGCTATGATTGGCTCTCAGTACACATGGAGTCAAAACTCTCTAATATTATTTAAGATGGTGCAGGATTATGTTTTTGCTCATTTTTGTGAAACCACAGAAAATCAAGAAATCATGGGAAATATTTAATAGGGTAATAATGTGGGTTACATAATCATCTCCCTGATTGTGTTCCCAGTCAGTTTCTTGGAAGCAGCATTCAAGTAACCTGTTTAACAACTGAAGAAACTCACCAGGTGTTAATTTCATCTACTTTCATTGAAAAGTAAAAGCACTTACAAGGCTCTGCTGGGGAAAGTGAGGACTGGGAGGAGAAAGATCCA